AGATGACTGCCTGATTCTTTGGTTTTGGTTGGTTTTTTTCTTCTCTATGTAGAACTGGATTAACCCGAAATGTGGGTTTATCATGTTCAAAACACTGTTTACTTGGAAACATTCCATAAAATTATACTTGTTTTCAGTTTGAAATGGAAGACTCAAACTGTCTATGGCATATTTTGAAACATTTAAATAGAGAAAAATTTAACAGTTTATTTTTTATTGTGATTGTGCAGACAATAAGAATGTTTGATTAGCATATTCCTACAAAATTTTAATGCACAGTAACTATATTAAAGATTAAATTTAGATACCTTTTTAGTGTGTTGTATTTCTGACCTTACAGTATAGTTTTCAGTGCAGAAAACTATTGAAGATCATTTGAACTTTACATCCTTGCAAGTCAGTTGTGAAGGCCCTTTAAAAGATCATTTAGTCTTAAAATTCTTACAGATGTTGCAGTTTTTTCTACTTGTACCCTTTTCTAAGATACACGCTTGATAGTAGAACAGTGCCTGTTGTATAGCCTACATTTTTTTTCAGGGTGTTAATTCTACTTTTCTTAGTAGTAGTTGATGCATTCAAAACACTAGGATGTTTTCAGTTGCCTTATTTATGGCTGTAAACATTTGTTAGTGCTTAGAATTAGGTTCCTTACAGATAGTAAGGTAATTTAAGTTTTAACACGGTATGGTTGAAGTTGATTTCTTTAATTGTATGTCATGTAGATGATAAGACACCAGGTTGATTATTTACTTTTATCATCACCAGAAGAGCTTGGATTTCAAAGCGTGATGTAGCAGTTCCCCAGGTTGTACTGTCTTCAACAGAACATGCAGGCACAGTGAAAGTCAGAAGGAATTTGACTGTTCAGGTTGCCAATGAATCTTTTCTAGTAGGGAGGCTCTTACTTTTTTTTATTAATTAAAGATATGCTAAATTATTTTACTTGCTTTAAAGGTGAAGTATGGAATATTTGTTTGCTTGTTTTTAACTGAAGAAGTGGTTGTTTAGTATTTAAGTTTATCTTTTAACCACTGGTAAGCTTTCTGAGGTGCCTGTGATTTGGTACAGTTTTTGAGATTCTGCATTCCTCTTTATGGAATAGGCAGGATAGGATATAATTAACCTGAATTCTGATTATTATCAATTTCCATATCGAAAGATCTTCCGTACACCTTCAATACAGTGGCTAAGGGACCTAATGGAACAGTTTCAAATAAAAATCAGAATTGTGTGTCCTTTACAGGAACTGCTAGGGTGGGGTGTTTTCATGTGTTAGCAGTCTCTAGTTCTGTACTCTCTCTTACTGCTAATTTTTTCCTTCTGTTTGGCTCTAGTTGTTTTATTTCTCACACGTAGTCTCTTCACGCATTCAAGTAGAAGCTTTAGGCTCCAACATAAATGTGAATTTAGCTCTTTGACTGGAAAGATACTTGAGGAGAAAATACTTATTGTGAGCTTGCTGCTGCTGCTTATATATTTTACTGCAGAGATGCCTAGGCTTTTCAGTCTGTTTTAGTAGAAAAAAATAGATATCATAGTGCTTGTATTTTTCACACTTATTTTTCTTTTGCTTTGTCGCAAAAAGTTGAATCTTCAGCAAATTTTAAACTGTAGTTTTGTAGCATTCCTCAATGTTTCTGTATGATATGCAGTTGTGAAATGTAAAATGGAAGATGTGCTGAGACACCAAAATGGTAATCTTTAATGAATAGGAACAAGAATAAACACAATTTGAAATGAAAAATCTAGAGTATGTAAGATGCGCTTGCTTTCTTGGTCCTCACTACCAATTTGGCTGCACTTCAAATGGTTTTACACCACAGTCTCTTATTTCAATCTCTCATGAGTTGGGTTCATGTATTCCATGAGTGGTTTTACATGTTGTTTGTAATTTTATAAGCTCCTGTAAGACTTGAGCACTTTAATAAGGTGATGAGTAGCAACCAGTGAGACTGAAATGCTCAGAGAGAGGGACTTAATAAAAAAGGTCTGGGGCACTTCCTTCATTTGCCTAGGCTAGGTAAGTGATCCTCCCACCAGAGTAGCCAGGGATGTTTATGAGTGGGGAGCTGAGGTGGAGGCAACACCCACAGGTACAGAAGGAAGAGATGAGAGATGCAGCATCAGAACTGTGCCATTATTCACCCTGTCTGGTCTCAAACCATGCTGTGTCATGTCTATTTTTGGAAGGCGTGCTGAGTGAGCATGCTGCTCCCTGGTGTTGGTTGACACCTCTGTTTCCCCAGTGCTGCTGTTACATCCTGACACAGTCTAAGTGGACCTGTTCTTTCATCTGTGGCTGTCTCCTGGGCGAAACTGATTCATGTGACAGTACAGCAGGAAATGCATCATGACCTGACTGAGAACAGCCTGGGCCTGCATTGCCCCTGGATGCTAGCGTGTGTGCTTTTGTGATGCCCTGCATTTTTATCATGAACTGAGGGAGGAAAAACTTAAATGCATAGCTCTGTCACTGTTTTTCTTCTGATTCTGAGATGTGTGATATGAGAAACTTAAAAAGCAAACATGGCAATTTATATAATTCCTCCCACTGAAGCAAGTCTTTTTGCAGACAGTGACTCTGGACCTAAATATGGGCTAAGCTTCTTCAAAAAACAAACAAAACCAGTCTTTTTAAGCCTATGAACCTTACAGGTGCCAGGAAGAAAAAGTGTCACATGTAGTGGTTTGACATAAATACAACTCCTGTTGATGAAGTTCAGAGCATCTAAAGCCTATCTGTCATGGTGCTGTTTTCCCCCTCAATTTATAGGTTACTGTATCTACTTGAACATGAGATTAGCTATCTGTCAAGTATAATAAATAATAAATTAGCTTAATTGATGAGCCTTTAATTTCACTCACTTCCAAAAAATCAATTATAGCCATTCCTTTTTCCTTTCGAAAGATGTTATAGTAAATGTGTTTAATTATTTGAAATGCTTTAATCTAACTTTACTTGAGTTTATGTTAATACCACGTCTCCATGATGAAATGGTGTTAACATTCTACATAGTTGTAAATTAATCCCAGGGAAAAATGTATACTATTGAATATTTGTCATCTTAATGAGATGGTGTCAGTGCCTAGTGCCTTCTAGCCATTGCCAGTGGGTAAAGAATCCTTATTCCCAGCTGTATTAAATACAGTGGGTTCATGTTTACACTTGTTACTGAATTAGAGAAGTCTCAGAAGATAGGATATCTGAGGGAGAAAAAAACAAGTGGTACCAAAATGTTACCTAGATGACGATTTTCTCTCTAGCATTTACGTTTTTGTGTGACCTTAATCTTGTTTCTATAAGAATACTGAAAAGAAACTTTGATTGGGATAAAGATCTTTTTAATATGACTCACATGGAAAGGCTTTTTGCAGTCAGAGGAGTTCTTTAAGTTACCTGATTTTTTTTTTTTTTTAATAAATTCTCCTTCACCGAATACTTTACAATAACACATTTTCAGTCTTTGCATGAGTCTTTCATGCATCAAACACCACACTATGCTAAGAACAATTCTACCTTTTTTAAGACACAGTCAAGGGTTTTCCACGTGTTACTTTTATTTATAATTGTTTTGTTGACTTTGTTGCTGCAGTGGTGCCTCAGTAATATATTTAGCAATGCAGTGAAGACTAATCCTTTTGTTTGCTGCCCTTTGCTTCAGCTTTTCTGGTATCGAAGTGTAGTGTCTGCTTTCTCTGTTTCTGAGGTTCCATTTCATGTTGTTGGTATGTTGGGGGGAGTTGAAGGGTATCATACCTTAGTAATTAACAGAGAAGAAAAACCTTTGTAAATATCAAATATAGAAGCAGTTAAAGTAACTGTTGGAAGTGATCCATAGAAAAAAGGAAGCCCAGTACACAGTTAAGCATATGACTTCTGAGATTTCCTGCTCTGTTTTCATTCATTATATCTGTTTAAAATAGCAGGTTATCCTGTACTTCCTAGCCGTGTACTTGCTTTAAATTTGCATTTTATGAGATGGGAATACAAAGGTTATGTTGTCTGAAACTGTTTTTGAACTGGCATGGATGATTTTTTTCATACAGTTTATTATTTAATGATAAATTTATGTTAACTGATTTGGACTACTGTCAAAAATACTTGCATGTTTTGTTAAACTAGGAAATGTTAGATTTTTTTTTTTGAGTCTTGCTTTTAGTTGGGTAGGTTTGTTTGGGGGGTGGCCATGATGAAAGCCTAGGTTTTCATTGTGCTGGTTTACTTATTACTTTTGCTTAAAAAACAGAAGTAAAACTGATATTACTAACTTCAGATAGTGTGTTTTTTGGTTGGAGGGGGGGATTATTAATTTGAATTTTTTGGTATTTGCTATTAACAGTTGTATGGACACTGACTTTATTAAAGATACCTTTTGTAAAGCTGATTTTGGGACTTTATTGACCTAGCCATAATCTTGACTCAAGATTGCTGGTCAGTATAGTAAAAATTTTTTCCATCTTCAGTGTGCCAACAGGCAAGTAACATTGCTGGTAAATTTCTCAAGATAGCATTCTGCTTCGTGATCCAGGCCTTTAATGCTTTAGTCTCATCTTTTCCGAAGTGTTGTGCAAGGCTGCGTTTTGTTGCTGAAATAATGTGCAATTTTGCATATATTCTGTAAAATTACTCATTCCAGTTTGTCTGCAAAACATGATTATTTACATTGAAGGTAATGAAAGTGTATAGCTTTAGCCCTACTTTCAAAATAAGATGTGGCCTTTGACTTTCTTTGTTCATGCTTTAAACTTTATGGCTAGTATCAGTATTTTCCAGGATAGCCCAGGATGCCTAAAAGTTGTCCATGCCTCCTGCAGGGACAGTATCTACATACCATATATACCAGGAATTACTTTTCAGTTTCCTTGCAGTTGTGCCAGTAAATGACCTCTTAGCAGCTTAATTGGTATGTGATTAAGCAGTATGGTGTTCCTTGGCAAGATCCCACATTTATATGTGTTTTTGTAAGAGACAAATTTCTTTTGTTACTTCTTTTTTACAGTTACATGGGGATCGGACTTTCTGCACAGGGTGTGAACATGAACAGACTACCAGGTATGTTTCAGTATTTTGTACATTGTGAAAGTTACTTATATTGGTTGATTGTGGTTTCAAAATACGTTTGACCTTGACGGCAAGGTTCTGGTGAGCAGCAGAGTGCAGCGTGACATGTCTGTGTTGTATCTGTTATCTGAATTATGTAAACCTTGCAGCTGGAAAGTTTAGCTTTTTGTTTATTGTTTTACTGTACATTTGCTCCTGTACTGCTTCTCTCAACTCTTAGTGTTACTTATAACACTATGCAGTTACTTTTTAGCAAACAAATGCATTTAAAAATTTTTGTGTTTCCTGTTAAAATTGAAGCAGTAGACTTCCGAGTTCTCCTTCTGTCAGCTTCTGTACTGTTACCTTTCCAACCATAATAGTAAGGATGTGTAGCATAGTTTTAAGTTTTGACTGTTCCACTGACATGCATGGTCCAGGAACATTGTCTTGTTAACAATTGTCTGCCATAGTCTGTCTATCTATGGTATTTTAAAAAGTTGGTTATGTGTGTACATGTTAGGTTTGGGGTTTTTCTTTAAATTTATCTTTAAGTGTAAAAAAAAAAAAGTAAAAAAACCCCACCCACAAAAAAACCCCAACAAACAACACCCCCTGATTTTTAAAAAATTTCTACTAATAGCCAAGTATAAAATCATATTGAATGGACCTTAGAATATCAGTATTCTGTTCCTTTTGCATTGTTACTTTCTCGCCCAAATGTTCTGGTAGAGATCCTTAGGATGATGGCAAGTCCCAGGCACACTGTGAGCCCAATTAAGGGTGATGAATTATTAGTGGATGGCATTGAGTATGATTTAGGATGCATTGCAAATAATTATCAAAGATACTACTAATCAGTCTAACTGCAGTAATTTGGGGTATTTGATTTACTGAGAGATGTTTAATGTGGTGCCAGCTGAAGCTACCAATCATACAAATTAGGGGCCTACGTATGGAAAATACTTTCAAATTAACCTACAATACAGCAGATTGACAGAAGAATAAACCCCACAACCTTTTACTTTTAATTTGAGTGGACAGTATAAATTCCTACAGTCAGAATGCTTACATATATCTATATGAATGAAACTTGATGATTTGTGTTAAAGGTCATGCTTTATATTATTTTGAATAGGCACTTAATAGATGTTATGAAGATTTTGTAGTGCCTGAAAGTTTACTCATTTTCTAGGCGTTTTTGCTTAGTATTGAATTGCAGAGAGTATGGACAGGTATTTTTAAATGATCTCAGACTAGAATTCATTGCTGTGAATTTCATTGACTAGTGTAACAATGTGAAGCTTCTTAACTGGTTCTGCAGCTTCTTCACCTGCAAATTAGCACCATATTTGCATATCTGCCTGCTGGCTGTGACTTTCACCTGTTTGGGTTTTTTTTCCTTTTTATTTTTAGGGGCTAGTGACACTATGGTCTGGAGATTCTGCTGTTATGCATAGACTGCTTACTGCTGAATAGTCATTAAAAATAATCATCACGAGTAGAAATGTGTTTCCCCAGAGGTGCATGTTTAGGTCTTAGCCAGAGAGAATTTGATTATGACATACCGTAGCAATAGTTTTGCGAGGTGAAAGGGAGAACAGGAGAATCTTCAGTGTTTTATTGGGACATGTCAGATCTGCGCATAGCTTTTTCAAACTTCAGCATTGTAGCTGATTATATTTTTGGTGTTGATAATTCTGTGTGTTTGCTTAAAGAGAAAAATGTTATCTGAATTTGTGTTACCTGTTATGTGCTACAAATGGAATTACCTGTTCAGCCATTTTGATAAAAGAAGTTGTCTTTTTTTAAAAATTAAATGGATTTGTCAGTTAGATGAGAAATCTTAGAAATCAGAACGCTGAGCATAGTAATTAACCATATTAACCTGGTTAGAATATACTAACTTTGCATAATCTGTCCATTATTTCATAATAAAGAAAAGGAACAAATTGCAAATGCTTTTGTTCTCTAGGTTGGGATAAACATTCATATGGTTACCATGGAGATGATGGACATTCATTCTGTTCCTCTGGCACTGGCCAGCCCTATGGCCCAACATTTACTACGGGTGATGTCATTGGCTGTTGTGTCAACCTTATCAATAATACCTGCTTCTACACAAAGAATGGACACAGCTTGGGTATGGATAAACTTTAACGATAACATTATGTCTGTAAATCTGTTGTAAATCTGAAACGCTCTTTGTGTCAGGACCAGAACGTTTGAATAGTTCTTTTAACAGTCTCAGTCTGTGAATTAATTAAAGAATTTGGAAAAGTAATTTCTTATGTGCCACTTGCACAAATATTCCTGGTGAATTTGGAAAGATTGGTCATGGCATCTCATTCCATAGGACTGGTGTTTAAGAACTCCGCTACTAAATCCACAAATAATGCTTAATGTTTATAACATAAGGTAAAAGATATAAAAGAATTAGAGAAATGGAGAACAGATAGAGCTAAAATTCATTGCTGTTATATGGGAGGCACCTGGCCTTCACTAAAAACCTGAATCAGATGGGCGATATTTTGAACACATGTTGGAAAACAGTGTCTTTTGGATTCCCGGTCTAGCTAAAGCTACAATTTAGTTGTGCTAAAATTAAGTCCATCAAACCCTTGTGGTAAATTTTAGCATTATGCAACACTGCAAGAGTTTAAGTTTGAAGATGGCAGGAGGGGGTAGAGTTAAAATTTTTGATGCAATATATATAATTATTCAGTTACTTAATAGAATTTAATGAGCAAAGATATGAGAGTGTAGAGAGAAAAAAAAAATCTACTTCCTGCATTAAGGAGAGAGCAGTGTCTTGGGAAGTGATCTTGGAATTGTGCTAATGGGTGTAGGAAGTTCCAAGGGATAAAGCTCAGAAAGAAGAAATAAGGTTTTTTCTTGGATAGAAATGTGATAAGAAAAAGAGAGGCTGGCTTGAAAAGAAATACGAGGCTATTCAGATAGGGACTGTTGAAGTCACTGTTCTGGTTCCTCACGTTGCCAAACATAAGGAAGGTTTGGAAGGTAGGAGGAGAAGGACATGGTTTATATTCGTTTCCTTGTCTCTCAGTACAAGACTCTTGCTTGTTTGCTCAGACCCTGAGCAAACAGATAAAACTTCAAAGTTGTCCTGCCCCTGTTGAGAGTAGGGAGTAGATGCCTACAGAGGTCAATTCCAAGTAATCACTTCTGTGATTCTATTCTCATGATCTAATGTTTCTTCTAAACTGAATGAGTCTCTATACCTGGACTTAATACCTTGACATCTACAGCAGTGGGTCACTTGAACCATGCACTGTGTAATTCGTTCTTTTGGCCATGTTTCAAGGTATATGTCAAAATGGAAGATAAGACCCTCATATTGTACTTATCCTAATCTTTAACTGGATTAAAGCTGAGAAGAGTAGTCTTACCTTATTCCCTTTTTGGAACTAGTAAGCGTGCCTGCAGGTAAGTTGGATCAGATGTTCATCACTGTTCATCAGAAAACACTGTTTTTTCTGACTGCCCTTACTGTCACGTGCATGGAAGAGCTAAGAAGGGAGGAGCAGAACCTTCTCTTTCAGTGGAAGTCATAAAGCAGACTGCATTAGGTCAGCTGCGAAACAACACTCCAGGTGATTAAAATCTGTTTAAAGAGAAGAGAATGGCATAGGTGAGGAGAGGCTAATAAAATGTCAACTGTCATAGGCAGAGTCTGACACACACTTCATGGATTTCAGAAGGAAAACTGACAGCTGTTCCATGGCCATGGGCTTTGCTAGCTTGAATTTGTGACAGGAAAAGTCAATCTGTTTAGGGGAAAAAGAAATTACAAATTTTGGCTGTCTTGCCTTGTTGCTGTCCTGCTAGTTGTCCAGAATTCCTATGTGATTGTGACTTGGAAGACATTTATGTTTCTTCTCTGGGCAACAGATGCAGTCTAGAGTATTGGAAGCCTCTGGCTCAGACTGGGATTTGATACTACAAAAAGGGCTAAGCAATTATTTATGCAAGTATGAAATCCTGGGTTGAAGGGAAAAAAAAAAAACAAACAAACCAAAAAAACCACCCAAACAACCCACAACCAAAAACCCTGAAAACACAAAACTAATCCTGCAAAAACGTACCTGCATGTCACTCAGTCATCATTTATCCTTTATCTTGCCTACTGCCATGGTTATTTTGGAAAAGCATGAGTTGGATGTCAAAATATGCCAAACAGAGAAAGTGGTAATAGCTTGGAAAAAGTAAGGGTGTGAACAGGTAATAAATAAAATGATAGCTTTAAGATGTGGTGAGACAAAACAGATTCACTCTGTCATTCTTTTGTATCGAAGATATAAGTAAGGAATCCAGATGCTCTTGAGGTGAAGAATGGAGATGGAAAGCAGGGGAAAAAAGGTTAAAAGCTTTGTTTTAATCTCAAATTTCAAAAGGCAGTGATACAGAATATTAAATGTGTTTAAAGGGTCGAGCAGATTTGAATCATTATGCTCTTGTGAAAAAAATAAGTTTGAAGAAGTACTTGCAACAATAAAGGAAATTAGGAAATATTGTTGTTGTTTGGCTGTCAGGAGGAGATTTCCTGATAGTTATTTTTTAACTGAAGGCTTTCCTCCCCTCATTGCATGAAGTTCCTGAACTGTATAGAGGTCAGATTTTTCTCTAATCCTGAGACAGCAAAATCACTGCCTTGGTCTTATGGGTAGTTGGATGCTTGTAATTATATAACAAGTTATTAAGCTATTCTGTTTGAAAACCAGAACACCCTGGTGTGGATTAGAGTAAAACATTTACCAGACTGGTTTGGAGTATTATAGGCATGTGCTGCTCATGTAAAGGTAATGCGTACTTATGAAGAAAAGTAATACCAAACAAGAAAGACAGCACTGAACCTTGGTGTCACAGCATCAAGATGTGGAAATGAAAATATATCTTCAGATATTCTTATTTTTCCTCCGATTTTTAATCTTTAGCCAGAATTTTCATACTTTCTAATCTTCATACCTATATGATGTTTGCTAAATCTTACACCCTGTTTTAAAAATTGAGGTCACATTGAATACTTTTGAATGACAGTTACTTTTTTCCAAATATTGTTCTTTAATACTGAAGCACATCAGTTGTGCCTAAGCACTGTGGATGCCACCATACTTAACTACTTATTTCTGAGATGGTTTGGGTGAGTTTTCTGAACAGATAATGGTGTACTTAAGAAAGTGAGGCTAGAATCCAGACTTACAGAAAGTAATCTTAATTTTCTTTTCATTACAGGCATCGCTTTCACAGATTTACCGGTAAGATAAGTGCATTTTCGAACAGCTTTCTTGTATAATATACACAGATGTTTCAGTTGTAACTCACATTTACCTTACACTTATTGGAAATGCAGGGATAATCTTAACCAGTTTTATATCAGATATTTCTCCTCATCGTTTCAGTGGTCATTTCTTAACTGAAGTAAAAAGTTTCTTGGTTTTATACCAATTCTCACAGGGGTTTTCCTTTTCAGGTTTTTAACAGGCTGTTCTGATGGATGTTTAGCAGAAAATAATACATACAAGTAGTTATTGCATACTTTGATACATGCAGGCCTTACATAGAAAGTCAGAGCTATATTAAACACCAACACAGTGCATGTGTGTACAGCTGTGTATCATGTGCAGAAGCTTTGGCTGCTTAAGACATGGTCACTGTAACCTGTGCTTTTCAAAATCTTTCTCTATACTGTTCACTCAGTTAGATTGAACATAGCAAAGGTTTTTTTTTAACAAAGCTGCAGATATCTGGAGTATTCTAGCTTTTCAGTCAAATTGTACTTTCTTTAAAATTGTTGGAAACCTGTTCCCTGTGCTACTGGTACAGGCATTAGGCATGATACTGCACTTCTTTTGGTTTTTTTTTTTTTCCTCATCCACTTCATTTCTGATTTAATCTGGTTAGGGTGCCATGTGTGATGCGCTTCCATCTGGCCGGCTACTCTGCCCAGTTTGCTATGGCCTTATGAGGCAAGGACAAATATCGAGAAAAATTGAATTGGTAACGCAGGGTGGATATCAGCCAAGCTACAGGGTTGGGTGCTTCATGTAGGAAGCCACTGTCCTGAATCTGTGGGATGCCAGCAGGGCTCCTGGCACATGGTACCAGCACAGTAAAACTGGCACTATAATCTCAAGTTTGAAGCTTTCATCTGATCAAAAGATTTGAAACCTGTGCTTTGTTGTTGAGTCCAGACTAGGTAACACTATGAGCAAGGTTTATTTAAAAAAAAAAAAGAAAAAGAAAGAAGTAAGAAAGGGGAGGAGTGGAAATAGGAGCAAGATCAGCTTGGACATGGTTTTAACCACCAGAGTATTTTTCTAATTTCACTGGGTTCACTGGGCTTCAGTGTTCCT